TTTTTACAACAGTTCAACAAAAAAGGTCATATTAAATTTTACATTTTAAATGTAGCCTACATTTTGAACAGAATTGTCATGTTTGTTCTATTTTGCAACGAAATAATAGTTCCAACGAAATCCGTATCATCTGGTGTGCGTCTCCAAGCATCATACAGCGGTGTTTCGTTAGTGAACGAATCTGCGGCTTTGAACGATTTGGAGAGTCAGTGATTAATAACCCATTCATAACTACAGCATTTTGCTTCGTTCCTGAATGAATGAATGAATGAATGAATGACGCGACGCCTGGCTCATTAAGACAGCGACTTGACGCCACCTATTGGCTGTTTTATTTTTAAATCTACAAGTAGATTTGCCATCATATATTGCTTTATTTATTATATTAATAATACACTTAATGAAATGTTAAGAATATGACATGAAACATGACATACAATTAATAAGGATCGAAAATATTTGAAATGCCCCAAGGGGTACGCTGCTGTAAAAAATTTGAGAACCACTGCTCTACTCGCGGCTCACCTGTACGAGTTATTGTTGGAATGCTCTGCCAGTGGAGAGTCGGAATCAAAGGAATCTCCTTCATCATCATCTTCCTCATCCTCCTCTTCCTCACTGCCTTGGCTCTCCTCAGAGTCGTACTCCACTCGGCTGGCAGACGGAGGCAGGTACGGCTTCACACAGGACAAACGAATGAGTTCACAAACACAACAATGCCAAATTACTGCAAGCTGAAGAATAAAAGAAAACCTTTGCGATTAAATAATCCCAGATGCTGAGCTCAGGCGGCACAAAACGCTCTTTACAGATGGATGTTTCCGGCTCCATCACCACGGGTCTGGGACTGACAGGACTGTCGGGAACCTCTCTGGAGTTACTGCGTGATGAGCTCAGCCGGGAACGCCGCTGCTTCCGCTCCACATCTTCCACTAACGAGGAGCAAATAGTGAGCAAGATGTCATAAAATCACTCAAACACAACAGAAAGCTTTAATATCACTGGAGCTTAATGCTGCATAATCGTAACGCAATAATCAAGGGTTTACCAAGCGGGGTTTTATACTGATAAAAAGCTAATAATTTATAAAAATGTCCAATTAAAATAAATACATTATTTTAAAATAAAAACAAATCAAAATAAAATATTTACAAAAAATTAATGAAATCATAAAAGTAGGGCTGCTCGATTATGGCAAAAATCATAATCACGATTATTTTGGTCAATATTGTAATCCCTATTATTTAACACGATTATGACACGTGATGTATATTAAATATATATTTTCTGTAAATAAGGTTGCTATGACATCTAAATTTTAGAGACCAGAGGAATTTCACAATTCTCAATACCACAGCAGAGTATTAGGGTTACTGATATTAGTAACAAACAAACAAAAAAGTCCTCAAAATTATTGAAAATAATTAAACTGTCAGACAAACAGCACCCTGAGGTGAGCAGAACCCACAGGTTGCTAGGGTACTTGGGGTGGTTGCTAAGGTGTTGCTATGCGGTTGGTAGGCTACCCGGGGTGGTTGCTAGGGTGTTGCTATGTGGTTGCTAGGGTACTCAGTGTGGTTGCTAAGGACGTTGTTCTTATTGTTGAGAGAACACAAAAGTTTAACTGCATCAAGTTGCCTTATTTTTTTACGTTTTCTCAACTATTTATTTTTTACAGTGCTGGTTAAACTAGCAGACAAACAGCACCCTGAGGAGAGCAGAACCCACAGGTTGCTAGGGTACTCAGGGTGGTTGCTAGGGTGTTACTAGGCTACCTGGGGTGGTTGCTAAGGTGTTGCTATGCGGTTGCTAGGCTACCCGGGGTGGTTGCTAAGGACGTTGTTCTTATTGTTGAGAGAACACAAAAGTCTTACTGCATCAAGTTGCCTGGGGTGGTTGCTAGGGTGTTGCTATGCGGTTGCTAGGGTACCCAGTGTGGTTGCTAAGGTGTTGCTAGGCGGTTGCTAGGGTACCCGGGGTGGTTGCTAGGGTGTTGCTATGCGGTTGCTAGGGTACCCAGTGTGGTTGCTAAGGTGTTGCTAGGCGGTTGCTAGGGTACCCGGGGTGGTTGCTAGGGTGTTGCTATGCGGTTGCTAGGGTACCCAGTGTGGTTGCTAAGGTGTTGCTAGGCGGTTGCTAGGGTACCCGGGGTGTTTGCTAGGGTGCTGCTATGTGGTTGATAGGGTACTCAGGGTGGTTGCTAAGGATGTTGTTCTTATTATTGAGAGAAAACAAAAGTCTTACTGCATCAAGTTGCCTTATTTTTTTACTTTTTCTCAACTATTTATTTTTTACAGTGCTGGTTAAACTAGCAGACAAACAGCACCCTGAGGAGAACAGAACTCACAGGTTGCTAGGGTACTTGGGGTGGTTGCTAAGGTGTTGCTAGGCTACCTGGGGTGGTTGCTAAGGTGTTGCTATGCGGTTGCTAGGGTGTTGCTATGCGGTTGCTAGGGTACCCAGTGTGGTTGCTAAGGTGTTGCTAGGGTGTTGCTATGTGGTTGATAGGGTACTCAGGGTGGTGGCTAAGGACGCTGTTCTTATTGTTGAGAGAACACAAAAGTCTTACTGCATCAAGTTGCCTTATTTTTTTACGTTTTCTCAACTATTTATTTTTTACAGTGCTGGTTAAACTAGCAGACAACCAGCAGCATGAGGAGAGCAGAACCTGTGGGTGAGCTGGGTTTCTCCGGCACAGGAACACGAGCGCCGCCGCCGAACACAGACACCCACAGCCTGCTGTTGAGCGGGTGAGCGACGATGCGGAAGAGCTCGTGGCTGGAGTGAGTGGCCAGACCGTGGACGAAGAGGCTGAGGATGACGGCGGGCAGGGTACCCGGGGTGTTTGCTAGGGTGCTGCTATGTGGTTGATAGGGTACTCAGGGTGGTTGCTAAGGATGTTGTTCTTATTATTGAGAGAAAACAAAAGTTTAACTGCATCAAGTTGCCTTATTTTTTTACTTTTTCTCAACTATTTATTTTTTACAGTGCTGGTTAAACTAGCAGACAAACAGCACCCTGAGGAGAACAGAACTCACAGGTTGCTAGGGTACTTGGGGTGGTTGCTAAGGCGTTGCTAGGCTACCTGGGGTGGTTGCTAAGGTGTTGCTATGTGGTTGCTAGGGTACTCAGTGTGGTTGCTAAGGACGTTGTTCTTATTGTTGAGAGAACACAAAAGTTTAACTGCATCAAGTTGCCTTATTTTTTTACGTTTTCTCAACTATTTATTTTTTACAGTGCTGGTTAAACTAGCAGACAAACAGCACCCTGAGGAGAGCAGAACCCACAGGTTGGTAGGCTACCCGGGGTGGTTGCTAGGGTGTTACTATGCGGTTGCTAAGGTACCCGGGGTGTTTGCTAGAGTGTTGCTATGTGGTTGCTAGGATACTCAGTGTGGTTGCTAAGGACGCTGTTCTTATTGTTGAGAGAACACAAAAGTCTTACTGCATCAAGTTGCCTTATTTTTTTACACAAGCTGCTGTTGTCCATGAATACAGTTTGCACATACAGTAGTGACCAGGAACTGTCACGCTCCAGAAAGCATGAGAAATTAAAACATTAGTCCATATGATGTGTGCAATATGATCAGTGTTGGGGAAAGTTACTTTTACAAGTAATGCATTACAATGTTGCGTTGCTTCGGCCAGACCGAGAGGCTGAGGATGACGGCGGTCAGGATCTCACACAGGAGCACAGGCAGACCGGGCTGGTGGCTGGTTCCGGACGCGCTCAGCAGCCGCATCAGGACGCTCACACCTGCACAGACACACAGGTGAGTCTGGAGTCTGACGATGAGCTCAGGGGTCAGAGGTCATGGTGCTTTACCAGGCCACTGCGCAGGAGAGGAGTTGGGCACTGACGCTCCTCACCGGGGGCTGATGGGTAAGCAGGACGCTCTGGTAGCTCTGGTAGGTGAACGGATTCACATGGCTGAGGAAAAACATACATATTAGAATTAGGGCGTTCATTTGGTTCATTTGGATGATTTGAATCCATGGTTTTGAACAAATCAAATAGCTACGTTTAAAATCGAGTAGCTATGTTTCCATCCAAAGATTTGAATTTAACTTATGCTCAAAACTAGAATATCGCATGAAACATTTGCGAATAAAGCACCGCTTCCATCTAACGAGTCAAAGAGAACAAAATCATCACTTCCTGATAAACTGGCACTATATATCACTAAGAAAACTAGGAGAAGCCACTGAATATAATAATTTTCATATATAATAAATGACTTGCGGCTCAAGAGCGAGCAGACGAAACACAATAAATGCTGTCAATGCTTTCGGAGGTGGATTTTTGCTGTTTGGGAACGCAGTCGTGTAAGACAATTATACAGAAATACTTTGATGACAGATTTTGCTCATGCATTTCAGAACGAACAGAACAAAATTTCAGATGCTGTGCAACGAGATCAGTTTGCTGGTTAGTCAAGTTATTCCGTCTCATAGCGCATGGAGGAATTTATTTGGTAAACGTGTTTTCATCATAGTTTATGCACATTTTTCTTATCGCATAAAAAGTTTATCCTACTCAAATGTGGCGTTTCCATCCAGCGTTTTTTTATGCGATATTCCAAAATGCGCATAAAAATAGGTAGATGGAAACAGCTAGTGATTCAGTGACTCATTCATAAAGACAGTCACCTGCTTCGTTTCTGAATGAATCAACGGTTTTGAACAAATCGAGTGACTCAATGATTCATTTTTTAATAATTGTTAAATAAAAAAAAAAGGAAAAAAATAATAATGCTTTTTAAAGTCACGATGAAACAAGCTTCAACAGATCTTTTTTCTGTATTGACATCCGAGTGAAGTGGATTATCGAAAAAGCATAAATGTGGGGCGGAACTTGTTTCTATACGTTAGTTGTTGATTGGATGTTAAGAAGTGGGCGTGGTGCTCAATGGTGGAGGCGGAGCTCGGCGTTAGAATGGAGGGGTGGAGTTTAAGCAGACTGAATGATTGAAGAAATCCTGCATCACCAGAGAGAAGATCCAGTTATGATATCTAGATTATACATTACGAGCTCAGAACATTTGTAAAAATGAAACATGCACAGATTGCTCATAGTAAGATCTATATCATGCATTTAGAAAATGGATTTTCATTTCATGATGACTTTAAAAGGCTTAGTTCATCCATCACAAACCCGCATCTCTTCAATCTCATTCGCTCTCTCTGGTCTCTATTCATTTACTGTCCAAAGAAGGGCATTCATAAAGAAAGCCAAAAACCACTTTCATCTGTAAATGCCACACATCACATGAGCATCACATTCATGGGTCATCCGCTCATTATCAGACTGAGCGATTACAAGACACACAAATGTGAGCTGTGCTGGCAGAATGAGTGTGAATGCATACGGTGTCATTTTGAGCTACATGCAAAAAAAGTGAAAAATGTCAATTTTAGTCGAATTTGAGGTTTTTACAAAAATGAGTTCATTAAGCACTCTTCTAGCGATCCCAATGCTCCAAATAGTAATTAAACATCTAAAATCAACTTTATTTGTACGTTTTCTGAGAGGAGTACCGATCTGTGCGATCCCGATAAATATACACATATACACTGAAGCACAGTATTTAAGTATTCATGCAAACATATCTGTTCTGTCTGAAGTGAACGTTTGGGGAAAAACATCTGATGTGTAACATTAGATCCATGCATTACAGTAGGTCTTAATATATAGGCCGTCTGTCGCATTAATATTATAATAAAAGAGGGAATCACTCACTACTCTTGATTGAACTGCTTTTGTAGTTTTAATAATCAATAATAAAGGGATTTTTTACATGTAATTATTAGTTTTTCTGACTTGAATGCTTTTGTTTAGAAGTGAAATGAAAAAGGTAATGCATTATTTGTTTCTTTCTTATATTTGTTCTACTGTTTTTTTTTTTTGTTCTGTCTGTTCTTGTTTATAATAACAAAGATAAAATAAAAAAGCTATATTTTGATTATTAATATAGTAATTGTGACCCTGGAGCACAAAACCAGTCATAAGGGTCAATTTTTTGAAATTGAGATTTATGCATCATAATAAATATATTAATAAATAATCTTTCCATTGATGTATGGTTTGTTAGGATAGGACCATATTTGAAAATCTGGAATCTGAGGGTGCAAAAAAATCTAAATATTGAGAAAATCATCTTTAAAGTTGTCCAAATGAAGTTCTTAGCAATGCATATTGAGCGACGATGCGGAAGAGCTCGTGGCTGGAGTGAGTGGCCAGACCGTGGACGAAGAGGCTGAGGATGACGGCGGTCAGGATCTCACACAGGAGCACAGGCAGACCGGGCTGGTTCTCGTCTCCGGACGCGCTCAGCAGCCGCATCAGGACGCTCACACCTGCACAGACACACAGGTAAGTCTGGAGTCTGACGATGAGCTCAGGGGTCAGAGGTCATGGTGCTTTACCAGGCCACTGCGCAGGAGAGGTGTTGGGCAGGATGGCCTCCTCGATGCTGACGCTCCTCACCGGGGGCTGATGGGTAAGCAGGACGCTCTGGTAGGTGATGCCCGTGACGGGATTCACATGGCTGAGGAAAAACATACATATTAGAATTAGGGCGTTCATTTGGATTGGATTTTGGATTTGAATCCATGGTTTTGAACAAATCAAATAGCTACGTTTAAAATCGAGTAGCTATGTTTCCATCCAAAGATTTGAATTTAACTTATGCTCAAAACTAGAATATCGCATGAAACATTTGCGAATAAAGCACCGCTTCCATCTAACGAGTCAAAGAGAACAAAATCATCACTTCCTGATAAACTGGCACTATATATCACTAAGAAAACTAGGAGAAGCCACTGAATATAATAATTTTCATATATAATAAATGACTTGCGGCTCAAGAGCGAGCAGACGAAACACAATAAATGCTGTCAATGCTTTCGGAGGTGGATTTTTGCTGTTTGGGAACGCAGTCGTGTAAGACAATTATACAGAAATACTTTGATGACAGATTTTGCTCATGCATTTCAGAACGAACAGAACAAAATTTCAGATGCTGTGCAACGAGATCAGTTTGCTGGTTAGTCAAGTTATTCCGTCTCATAGCGCATGGAGGAATTTATTTGGTAAACGTGTTTTCATCATAGTTTATGCACATTTTTCTTATCGCATAAAAAGTTTATCCTACTCAAATGTGGCGTTTCCATCCAGCGTTTTTTTATGCGATATTCCAAAATGCGCATAAAAATAGGTAGATGGAAACAGCTAGTGATTCAGTGACTCATTCATAAAGACAGTCACCTGCTTCGTTTCTGAATGAATCAACGGTTTTGAACAAATCGAGTGACTCAATGATTCATTTTTTAATAATTGTTAAATAAAAAAAAAAGGATAATAATAATAATGCTTTTTAAAGTCACGATGAAACAAGCTTCAACAGATCTTTTTTCTGTATTGACATCCGAGTGAAGTGGATTATCGAAAAAGCATAAATGTGGGGCGGAACTTGTTTCTATACGTTAGTTGTTGATTGGATGTTAAGAAGTGGGCGTGGTGCTCAATGGTGGAGGCGGAGCTCGGCGTTAGAATGGAGGGGTGGAGTTTAAGCAGACTGAATGATTGAAGAAATCCTGCATCACCAGAGAGAAGATCCAGTTATGATATCTAGATTATACATTACGAGCTCAGAACATTTGTAAAAATGAAACATGCACAGATTGCTCATAGTAAGATCTATATCATGCATTTAGAAAATGGATTTTCATTTCATGATGACTTTAAAAGGCTTAGTTCATCCATCACAAACCCGCATCTCTTCAATCTCATTCGCTCTCTCTGGTCTCTATTCATTTACTGTCCAAAGAAGGGCATTCATAAAGAAAGCCAAAAACCACTTTCATCTGTAAATGCCACACATCACATGAGCATCACATTCATGGGTCATCCGCTCATTATCAGACTGAGCGATTACAAGACACACAAATGTGAGCTGTGCTGGCAGAATGAGTGTGAATGCATACGGTGTCATTTTGAGCTACATGCAAAAAAAGTGAAAAATGTCAATTTTAGTCGAATTTGAGGTTTTTACAAAAATGAGTTCATTAAGCACTCTTCTAGCGATCCCAATGCTCCAAATAGTAATTAAACATCTAAAATCAACTTTATTTGTACGTTTTCTGAGAGGAGTACCGATCTGTGCGATCCCGATAAATATACACATATACACTGAAGCACAGTATTTAAGTATTCATGCAAACATATCTGTTCTGTCTGAAGTGAACGTTTGGGGAAAAACATCTGATGTGTAACATTAGATCCATGCATTACAGTAGGTCTTAATATATAGGCCGTCTGTCGCATTAATATTATAATAAAAGAGGGAATCACTCACTACTCTTGATTGAACTGCTTTTGTAGTTTTAATAATCAATAATAAAGGGATTTTTTACATGTAATTATTAGTTTTTCTGACTTGAATGCTTTTGTTTAGAAGTGAAATTAAAAAGGTAATGCATTATTTGTTTCTTTCTTATATTTGTTTTACTGTTTTTTTTTTTTGTTCTGTCTGTTCTTGTTTATAATAACAAAGATAAAATAAAAAAGCTATATTTTGATTATTAATATAGTAATTGTGACCCTGGAGCACAAAACCAGTCATAAGGGTCAATTTTTTGAAATTGAGATTTATGCATCATAATAAATATATTAATAAATAATCTTTCCATTGATGTATGGTTTGTTAGGATAGGACCATATTTGAAAATCTGGAATCTGAGGGTGCAAAAAAATCTAAATATTGAGAAAATCATCTTTAAAGTTGTCCAAATGAAGTTCTTAGCAATGCATATTACTAATCAAAAATTTATTTTTGATATATTTACGGTAGGAGATTTACAAAATATCTTCATGGAGCATGATCTTTACTTAATATCCTAATGATTTTTGGCATAAAAGAGAAATGTATAATTTTGACCCATACAATGTATTGTTGGCTATTGCTACAAATATACCCCAGCGACTTAACACTGCTTTTGTGCTCCAGGGCCACATATATTATTAAGAAAAGAACTGGAGGAAAAGATGCAATGTTGCTCTGTGATTTTGCTTTGGAACCTTCAGAAAACTATGACTCAATTTTTCACAAATTTGACTTTGCTGACTCTATCAACTTAAAACAGGTGCAGCTCAGTCATTTTTCGTCCGGTTGCAACAAACCATGCATCATTTTAGAAGGTCTTAAAATAAAAATAACAAATTTTTGTAAATTTGCTCACCGCGACTCATTTTGCCAGCACTTGTCACAAAAAGTTGCAAATGAAGAGAAGCGTTCCATAACAAAGAATCAAATCAGTGACAAGGGCAGAGGTCACGGGGTCATCATGAGGCCGACAGACACACCCACCTGTAGCTGTGTCCGTCACAGAGACACTGATAGATGCAGGCGGAGAGGGAAGCCGCTAGCGTGTGCATCACGTAGATCTGAGACAGAAGGAAGACGTGTTAGAAGACCAATCACGACAATAACGACACCTCGTTCTAGGGGTGCAACGGTTCAACTTACTCACGGTTCGTATCACGGTTTTAGAGTCACGGTTTCGGTATGCGCTATGTTTAGGCAAAAACTATACTGTCAAATAAAAAAAAATAAAAAAAGAATAATCTATCTAACTACCAGCAACAGCACAAATAAATACAATAGAGTAAAGATACAAATAAAATAAACAGTGATTTTCAGATTTTTTTAGTTAGGTATAACATTAGTTTTCAGGTACAGAAATTGAATAAAGTAATGAAATGTAAAACAGCATTGCATATTTGACTGTATAAATTAAAGATGAATCTTTATTAAAGTTACAAAAGCTATTCAATCAAGAGCAGTGAGTGATTTCTTTGTTGTTGCTGTTTGATTAATATTAAGAAAGTGCTGTCACTTTAAGAGAATGCACTGATACAGATCAGCCGGCTGTGTCTGCTATAGGATACTTACCAAAACGGGCATTTTGACAATTTTTGTGTGAATTTGTCCATTTAAACAATACTTCAGAGAGAGCTTAATATTTGCGCGCGTTCTGAGGTGCTTCGGATGAGCGCACGCACAAATCTTCTCACTCGGGTGATGACGGAATAAATGCTCATATTCCAGCATACGGCATTCGCATTGAACAAGAGTGAATGGTTTGTCCACGTTTTTTTTCCATCGCTGTTGTTGTAATGTATTGGGAAGCCAGAATGCGCATCCATCAACAGAAACATATATTAGCCGAACCCTGTTTGTTTTACGTGTTATCGCAAAACATGTAACAGATGCGTTGTCAGATTTAAGTTGAACCGCGGTCCTAGCGCGTGCCGGACCGTGTGTGGAGAACCATACGGTTCGATTTTTTACCAAGAACCGTTCCACCCCTACCTCGTTCTGATGAGCCACGCTTCACCTCGTTGTTGACGATATCCGGGTGCGGAGGCGCGTCCAGAGCGTTGATGGTGTGCAGTATGTCATGCGTGAGGTTGGTCAGGTGCACTATGGGATTGGCCACCACTGTTTTGGAGCTGGCGGTCCACGCCAGGAAAAGAGGAACAGACAGGGGCTGCGGAGCGGGAACGGAGATCTGCAGACTGTCGTCCTGATGAGAGACAGAGAAAACATAATTCACGTGCAACAGCTGCAGCCGGGAGACAGAAACTACGGTGGCTCAGAGAGCTCAAGCGCTGCAACTTCAGAAAACACGTGCAAGTAGAAAAAGCACCAGCAAATTAAGAAAACATCTTCATCAGTTTGACAGCACATGCGCTGCAAATATATTTTTGACCAAATAAATGCAGCCTTGATGAGCTGAAGAGACTTCTTTAAAAACATTACAACTCTTACTGATCCCAAACTTTTGACCGGCAGTGTATATTAAAAAAAATTATCCTGGCTCCAAGCGTTAGAATGGGAGTAGATGGGTGTTTTTGTTCAACAGTCCAAAAGAAGTCAAATAAAGCGCATGCATCCATAATAAAATGTGCCTCCTGTAGCGAATTCATGTGTTTTTGTCAGAAAAATATTCATATTTAAAATGTTATAAACACTTTTCTCTCACTTCTGCTAACTGTTGTACGTGGATTTTTCTTACAAAAAAAAAGTAATTAATTACTAATTACACACTAGTTACTAATTACACCTTCAACAGTGTAATTAGATTACCGTACTAATTACTCTCTCTTAAAAGTATTGCATTACTTATTAGTTTCTTAATTTAAGCAATTTTGTATTTGAAAGAATTAAAAATGTTTTCATGTCTATCCTTGTATTGTTTAACTTAACCAGTTGAACAACATAAAACTGCTCTTTTCATTCTTTTAAATACATAATATAAAATTGAATAAATTATTCTTGAACTGTCCAAAGTGTTTAAAGGGAGAAGGTTACATTAAACACACATTTTAATATGAGATGTTAAATCCACTATTGTTTTAAATAGAATTATTCTATAGTCTATGCAGTATTTAATACAATTACATCAGAAGTAACAGTAATTAAATTACAGAAAAATTAAGAGCAATCCCTTACTTTACTTTTTCAAGGGAAATGTAATTAAATTACAGTAATTAATTACTTTGTAATGCATTACACCCAACACTGCGTGTGAGGTATGTCTTATTATGGATGCATGCGCTTTATTTGACTTCTTCTGGACTGTTGAACAAAAACACCCATCTACTCCCATTCCAACGCTTGGAAGAGCAAGGATCATTTTTAATATACACTGCCGGTCAAAAGTTTGGGATCAGTAAGAGTTGTAATGTTTTTAAAGAAGTCTCTTCAGCTCATCAAGGCTGCATTTATTTGATCAAAAATACAGAAAAAAACAGTAATCTTGCAAAATGTTATTAGAATATAAAATAATGGTTTCTATTTTAATATCCTTTAAAATATAATTTATTTCTGTGATGCAGCGCTGAATTTCCATCATCATTACTCCAGTATAAAGTGTCACATGATCTTTAGAAGTCATTCTAATATGCTGATTTATTATTAGAATTATCAATGTTGCAACAGTTGTGTTTTTTGGAAACTGATACTTTTTTCAGGATTCTTTAAGGAATAAAAAGTTAAAAAGAACAGCATTTATTCGAAATATAAATCTTTTCTAACGATATAAATCTTTGCTATCACTTCTTATCAATTTAACACATCCTCGCTGAATAAAAGTTTTAATTTCTTTCAAAAAAAAGAAAGAATAAAAATCTACTGACCCCAAACTTTTGAACTGTAGTGTATATTGTTAGAAAATATTTATATTTTAAATAAATGCTCTTCTTTTTAACTTTTTATTCATCAAAGAATCCTGAAAAAAGTATCACAGCTTCCAAACAAATATGAAGCAGCAACAGTTTCCAGCTCTGATAATAAATCAGCATATTAGAATGATTTCTGAAGATCATGAGACACTGAAGACTGGAGTTATGATGCTTTGCATCACAGTGCTTTGCATCACAGAAATAAATTAGATTTTAATGTATATTAAAATAGAAAAACGTTATATTAGTATTCACAATATTACATTTTTTCCTGTATTTTTGATCAAATAAATGCAGCCTTGATGAGCAGAAGAGACTCCTGTAAAAAACATTAAAAATCGTTCTGATCCCAAACTTTTGACCGGTAGTGTAACTCCGATTGGATTCGTCTGGAAGAAGAAAGTCATATACACCTAGGATGCCTTGAGGGGGAGTAAAACATGGGCTAATTTTAATTTTTGGGTGAACTAACCCTTTAAGATCCGATTCAAGTGATTCAATCCAAACGAGCGTGTTACCTGCTGGGACTCCTGCAGCAGCAGAATGAGCTCCATCCTGACGGAGGCCAGTCCTCCTCCGTGAGAGCCGTGTAGGCTGCAGTAGCTGAGGAAGATGCGCAGCAGCGGCTGGTTCCTCTTCAGCCACAGTCTGCGTCGGTGCTGCAGCTCTCGGGCCTGCTCCGCCGCGCCCCGCTCCTCCAGATCCTCCACCTGGCTCAGGTCGGCCGAGATGCCCTCGGGCAGGTGCTGGAGGAAGGGGTTGTATCCGCAGCATCTCTGCAGCGCCGCCACGGCTCGCTCCAGCCAGTGACACAGCTGATGCCGCAGCTTCCCTCCATCCAGCTCGTATCCCGTGGACAGCGTCCGTAACTCCGTGGTGAGGATCTTCAGACAGGAGCTGAACTTCAGCTGCGCGGCGAGGATGTCCTCGGTCAGCGCGGGCGAATCGTCCGCGCCGTGATCTACGGCTGTCAAATAAAAATTTGAATTTCGAATACTCATCTAATTTTTTAATTAAAATCCACATTCGAATGCAAAAACATTGAAAGTAGACTTCAGTTCTGAGTAGGGATGGGTCACGATTTTCTAATATTCGATTAGTTGATTTAATTATAGAATATCGAATAGGTTGTGCGATTATTGTCTTAAAAAATGTCCCCATGTTTTCCGTGCTGATACGGTGGTGACGCGTTCATGTGGCGCTGCCAATAACGCACCTAACGCGTTCTACGGAGCCACTAAAGGGACACGGTTAGCCGCTTGCTAGAGGTAGCCTGTTACATTACAGTACATAACATTTCACTTACCACATAAACAGAGTAAGGAGAGATGACTGATAGGATGATGGCGAATGATTTGCAGATCCTGAGCACCACTGACAAGCATGTAATCTTGTAAAATGTGTGGTAAGTACTGCTCCGTGTGTGATCGCGAATCTCAAAAGTGAAAGTAAAAAACAAGCGCGCGTTCATAAGTGATTTCAATGCCCAGCATATTAATAATGGCTCCCTGATGCCCGCAGTTTATAGACAGTATAATTACCCAACGATATAATTGCGACAGAATATATTGAAGTATATTTTTCTTCCCTTTAGGGGTTCCATGTTTGGAAATGGAAATGTCCTAGCCTTATGAGCAGTTGATTTATGCTAATCGACGGACTGTTATGTTAATAAGTGCCGTCATTCAGTTATGTTTATTATATTAATGTTTCAGCAAGTTACAATCATTATATGACTTGAGTTAAGGTAGCCTATCTTCTGAATTAAACAGTTTATCATACAGATTGAAAGCGTGAATCCCGTCTCTCTCGGTTTATGGGGATTTGTGCGTGCATTCGGGGGAGGGGTGCGATTTTCGAAAAATAATCGAATAATACCCAGTGATTTTCAAACATTATTTTTGCTTGGAATGTCCATCCCTAGTTCCGAGTAGGGTCAGGAATCGAAAATCAATTCCAGAAACGGATACTTAAGCAGGGTTGCCAGGTTTTCACAATAAAACCCGCCCAATTGCTACTCAAAACTAGCCCAATCGCGTTTCGAGGGGGGTCCCCTGTTAAAAATAACGTTCCGGGGTGTAAAATACACGTGCTTTGTCCGGGTTTCCCCTGGTAAATTCACATTCCAGGGGCTAAATATGACGATATTGGGGTCGCTTCGACCCACGGACATCAAAAACAACAGTGTTAAAGTAGCCCAATTCCTCGGGAAAACAGCGGACTTGGCAACACTGTACTTAAGGTTAGGAATCGAATACTTGTTGTAAAATTTCAATTTCAATTCCACCTATCAATTCCTGTGTGTGCATCTTTTTTTAGGTGGTGAAAAGTGGCTGTTAAAAATTTAATTGTCTTTAAATCATTCATTCAAGAGATTAATTCAAATACACTGATTCATCCAGTAATAAAACAAGTAAATCTTTGACTACGTTTACATGCACACAAATAATGCGATTACTTCCAATAATCAGAGAAAGGTCTTAATCGCATTATGATGTTTACATGTCAAGAGCAAAGCTCTTCACTCCCGTTTACATGCAATTTCCATTATTCTTATTGATCGCTAAAAGTTAATATTTTACTGCCATTATTCACTGCTCAGCACAAATGAGCAGGTGTGTTACTGGCCGCTGTTTTAATTTATTTACGTCTAATGCAAAACACTTTTGTATGGTTGTATTCCATGCTTTTTCGGCGCCATAGAAATGTGATGGAATTCGTTTGCCTACGCTGCGTCTGGATGAGGGTAAGGAACAGAGACTGGTGGCAGCGAGTCATGTTTTCCCCAGAATGCCATCGTTTCTAATCTGCGTATTATTACAGGTGCGTGTCACGTCATTCATGTTTGTCACGAGTGCATGCGCACTTTGGTCAGAGCGGCAATAATGCGATTAATGTGTTTACACATGTCTGTATGTTTCAATTAAAATCGGTGTACGCCACCTATGTTAATATGATTATGCTTGCTGCAATTATGAGCTTAATCGCATTTAGATCGATGTTTTGCGTTTACATTAAATAAAGTTTAATTGCAATATTATCAAAATCTCATTATAATCGCATTAAGAGGGTGCATGTAAACGCACTGATTGAATCATTCCATTAATAAATTCCATGAGATTTTGTTTAGTTGTCTAATATTTTTATTCAGAATTGTGAGAGATCTACAAAAAAAATAAAGTCTCAATTTATCCAGAATCATGCAGCTCTATTTTGCACACAAACAGCTCTTAATCAAGTTTAATCGATTTTTGTTCATGGTATTATTCAGCAGCAATTAAATGTTTTGCAAAAAGAGACACAGAATAAATGTTTGACTTTTATTAACCACATTGAAACTGGGAATTGATAAGAATTGGAATCGATTATCGGAATTGGAATTGATAAAATTCAAACAATACCCAACCCTAGTTCTGAGGTGAATCCACGTGCATGAACACATAAGCACTAGAAAGTTTAAGCCTTGTCCAGTATCTGCGCTTTTTCTCTCCAGAAATTATGAGCGATAAAAATGTCTTTGCATTGGTTTAAACTAGAGTTGTGTGGATCTCTGACATCTCTGTGCATCAATGCGGGCAATTTGTTGTAGTGTGCTGTTGTTCCACCACTTTTGTGGTATTGAAGAACCTTTCAGTTCTTAAAATAATTATTTTTTCTTAGTGTGTAGAGCATTTTAATCATCTAAAGAACCTTTTTACACTACAAACAACTTTTTGTGCACTGGAAATGCTCATGGAAGCATAGATGTGGCCAATACAGTGCAGTGATGACGTATGTATGTAATTTCAAAGTATTTTCACCTACACTACTTGTGAAGTCACAATTCTCTAACAGTACAATTTACTCAGGCCGATGACATTTTTTGTAGTATGATATTAAAATTCTTTTAAGAATAATTGTACATAAATTGTCACTTATTTTCCATTTCTGAAGTTAATTCTGCAACCCTAATGATGACGTAATTATCTTTGGACTCCCCTGACAGCAGCACCTTGCTCAAAAAAAAAAAAAAAGCATAATAGCCTATTCAATTCTATTCGTTTTGGTCTAATTTATAAAAAAAAAACAAAAAAAAACCTTGCTATGTGCACTGTGCTAGACTAACTGAGACTTGTCACTCTCTCGTTGGTCTGATTGCTTCTACTTTGTAAGACGCTTTGGATAAAAGCGTCTGCTAAATCACTGTAAATGTAAATGTTTACGTCAAAACTGAAACCAAGCCGTTCACACAGAATGCATATTTTGCACACTTTCTAGAGGGACATCTATCACCGTTGCACTCACGTCTCACACAAAAGAGCCGCATGTTTAGAAAGCCATGTAAAATGAATGCAAGTTCAACTTTGAAAAAAACATCTCAATTTTGGTCTAATTTATAAAAAAAAAACAAAAAAAAACCTTGCTATGTGCACTGTGCTAGACTAACTGAGACTTGTCACTCTCTCGTTGGTCTGATTGCTTCTACTTTGTAAGACGCTTTGGATAAAAGCGTCTGCTAAATCACTGTAAATGTAAATGTTTACGTCAAAACTGAAACCAAGCCGTTCACACAGAATGCATATTTTGCACACTTTCTAGAGGGACATCTATCAGCGTTGCACTCGCGTCTCGCACAAGAGAGCCACATGTTTAGAAAGCCATGTAAAATTAAAGTTCAACTTTTAAAAAAACATGTCTTGACACTTTATGGCTGTTTTCTTTGACAGATCTCGTGTTTTTAAATGAAAAAGTACTCTGTGATTGGCTTTCATCCATTTGTATTCAACTATGCATACATGATGCTGTTTTGTTTATAATTGTTTAAGCAAATACATATTTGCACATGCACTCTTTCAAAGATAGTCATGTTATTTTATTGCTTTGAAGAAACGTGCAGTAATAATATTTTGCTTGATGCACCCTCTTGTGGCCTCAGGCAGTTTTCCCCCTAACTGAAATTATGCCTTTTAAATTCGAAAATGGATAATATTTAAGTGCAAAATTCGAATTTAGATGCATTTTGACAGCCCTACCGTGATCTCTGGGGGTGGATGTCGCTTCCGGAGCGCTGTTGTCTTTCTCCGGACGGATAGTCTTCATCGCCAGGCCTGATTCTTCCTCGTCCGAGTCGTCTTTATCGCTGTCCCACTTGAGATCCAGAGGCTCGTCCTGCAGGGTGACAGACGGCTGGCTCCAGTCGAAACTGAGCACAGAGTCCGACTGGCTGTCCTCTCTGGGAGACGAGAGCGAGGACACGGACCTCTCCAAGCCATTGAGAGCCAGCCACGGAGCCGAGGCCTGGTCTTTGTGCTCGCTCGACGACTCGGGCGAATTCTCGCACGGCTTTGAGCGCTTCACGACCTTTGGCATTTTGGAGAGCACCTCTAAAGCCAGCATGGGGCAGCCAGCCTGTAAGTGTGCATAAGCGGCGGTGAAGAAGAGCCTCCTCTCTGTGAGGCTGATGGCGCGGCCTTCAGCGGTCAGACCCACTTTAGCTTTATCACAGGAGCCGAAGTGACGCCGCAGCAGCAGCGGGTGTGTGCGGAGGTAGGTGTAGAAGTTAAAAACATCAGGACTACAGGGAGATGATCCGGTTCCTGAAAGAGATCAAGTCCTGTCAGTAACATTCAGTTCTGGAAGCACATTAGGAGGAAAACAAAAATCTCTTAGAATAAAGGCTCTACCGCTGTCACCTTTGGTTTGCTTAGTTCGGATTGAAGGATTAGTTCACTTCCAGAATAAAAATCTCCTGATAATTGACTCACCTCCGTGTCATCCAATATGTTCATGTCTTTTTTTCTTCAGTCACAAAGAAACTAAGGTTTTTGAGGAAAACTTTCCAGGATTTTTCTCCATATAGTGGACTTCAATGGGGATCAACGGGTTGAAGGTTAAAAATGCAGTTTCAGTGCAGCTTCAAAGAGCTCTACAGGATCCCAGCCGAGGAATAAGAGTCTTATCTAGAGAAATCATAGCTCATTTTCTAAAAAAAAAATAAATAAAATGTATACATTTAACCACAAATGCTCGTCTTGCTCTAGCTCTGCGATGCACACGTGTACTCTGGTTCAGAAAGTTGTTTCATTTTCATCTCCAACTTCAAAATCGTCCCACATCATTGTTTTACCTTTATTGTAAATGGCATTTGGCCTTCTTTACATGTTCACTTTGAAAACAATGGGTTGGTGCTTCCACCGACGGTGTCGGACGAAAATGAGATGGAGTTTTTCTACCCTAACTTTTTGAACCGGAGTACACCGAGTACGCATGCGCATCGCAGAGCTTGAGCAAGACGAGCATTTGTGGTTAAAAAGTGTATACATTTTCTCTAGATAAGACTCTTATTCCTCGACTGGGATCCTGTAGAGCTCTTTGAACCTGCACTGAAACTGCACTTTGGACCTTCAGCACGTTGATCCCCATTGAAGTCCACTTTATGGAGAAAAATCCTGGAAAGTTTTCCTCAAAAAACGTAATTTCTTTCCGACTGAAGAAAGAAAGACATGAACATATTGAATGACACAGGGGTGAGTAAATTATCAGGATATTTTTATTCTGAAAGTGAACTTATCCTTTAATATTCAGTAATATTTTCGATTTAACTGCACTGACCCTATCAGATGAGAACAAAACTAGAACTGAATTGATCTGAATAATGACTCCATCGTCTTCTGTAGAGCAGCGTCACAGCTGAAACTGAATTAATTTCATAGTTGATGAATTTTTCAACATTAAAGCCTCGTACACACCGGACGATTATCGCCGACGTTTATCGACGCGTCTTGTCTTTTGTGTTCATACCCAAGCGATTTTCGCAGGCGATGAGCCGAGTGAACGTGCAAATTCACTCCCTGACATTAGATGGCGCTTAATGAATACCAGAAATACCAGAAATACACATCGAATCCTATTTGATCTGCAATTCCTCTCCATAACACCTCCCTCTTATCGAGATTTTTGTAGTCGCTGTCGCTAGCCCTTTGTGTTCAGACACCAATGAGACCAGCAGCTCTACATTCATCTTGCCTCGATACATCTTCTTGGTCTACTTACCTCCTCTTCATCGTTAGGTATCAATGTGTGCTCGGCAAGACTCCAAGTCGTGTTTTACTGTAACTTCAGCAGCTCCAGGCACGTGAACAAATGCGGCATTGGTCGGCCAGTTTTTAACGCGGCGCGTCAAACCAAAAAAACGAGCCCGAGGCGGTTTTTAAAAAATTACGCTTTTACGCCTCGCGTTTTGCGCGTCGGTGTGCACACTCACATTGGTGCCCTTTGTTTAGTAACGAGGCGTTAAACGTCGTCGATAATTGCGCGCGATACTCGTCCCGGTGTGAACAAGCCTTTATGCTGTTATTAAACTGAACTGAATCAACACTGAGCTGAATTGATCCGAATGACACTATTTTCTTCTGTAGAGCTGCTTCACAGCTGAATCGAATTTCAAATTCAGAATCGCAGAATCAAATTCGTTTTATAATTGATGAACTTTGACACTGTTATTGAACTGAAATGAATCAACATTTAACGGAATTGAGCTGAATTATGACATTATTGTCTTCCGTAGAGCTGCTTCACAGCTGAAACTGAAATTATTTTATAACTGATGAATTTTACAACATTAACACTCTAAATCAACATTGAACTGACTTGATCTGAATTTATCAAAATAATGACTCCGTCTTCTGTAGAGCTGCTTTATAGCTGAAATTGAATTCATTTCATAGTTGATGAATTTTACAAAATGAACACTGCGATTGAACTGAACTGAATCAACACTGAGCTGAATTGATTCAAATAATGACACTATTGTCTTCTGTAAAGCTGCTTTATAGCTGAAACTGAAACGTTGTAAGGATAAATAACCAGCTGGCAAGTATAGCCGATGTTTATGCTTAGTAAATCAAGAGAAGCATAAATCATGATTATGTAGCCCTATGAGTTTCAATAATTGATTGCATTATTCTCCTGTTGATCTCTGTGAAGCTCTCACCTTCATGTGACGTGTCTGCATTGGGCTCGAGCAGCGTGTCCAAAGCCCTGCTGTAGTCATCTAAGACCCAGTACGCCATGCTGCGTAAGAAAGGGTCCTGATGGGCCGCGATCTGGTGATCCTGACCCAACACATGCCTCTGCAGGATTCGCTTGTAGCTGCAGGACATCTCGAACTCAGACTCGTACAGCCGACAGACCACCAGAGCCAGCTGAAGGTCCTGCATCTTCTCTATACAAACCTGATCGAGCGAGTAAAACCGACAGATCATGAGAACTGATAGGACGACTAAAGACTGTAATCCTGATGATTATACTTTCCTTCTTGTTTCAGAAGTTCATGACAGGAAGGTTTCAGAGAAGAACATAAACAGAACAGATGCAAATGTACCTCAACAGCATCTTTCAGGGATCCGGCCAACAGAAAGAAAGCCGCTGAATGCTGGAAACGTTGCTTTCCGAGCAGAGAGAAAGCGTTCTTCAGCGCTGCCTTCCTCCAGCGGTCTTCACTGAAGTTATTGCTGAAGAACGCCGTCATCTTCACGTTATGATGGGACCTTCAACACACAGGAGCTCTCAGTGGACTGAAGCCTCGCTGACAAGTGTGTGTGTGTATATAAGTGAGTGAGTGTGTGTGTGAGAGAGAGTGTGTGTGTGTGTGTGT